AACCGCATGCTCCTGGCTGACTGTACTGCTCAGGAACTCTGGCCTGGCTAGCAGGGCTGTGGCCCAAGCCAATGAGTGGCCCCAACTCCTGCATTTGCTTTCAGTACCTGTGTATCAGAGGTGAAAGCAGATTCAAGATGCAGCTCGCAGGTTGGGTGATGGCTCAGTAGGTAAAGTGCTTTCCCCCAAAAGCATGAGGACCTGAGTTCAGATTCCCAGCATCTACATAAAAAGCTGAGAGTGCTGAGAATCTCAGCACTGGGAAGCAGAGCCAATAGGATCTCTGAAGCCAACAGTTTGGACAGTTTAACCAAATCAGTGAGTTTCCAGGGTTCAGCCAGAGACACTCTCAAAAATAAGGTGGGGAACCAATTGAGGAAAACGTACAATGTCAGCCTCTGGCCTCCACACACATGCATTTCTACATGCATGTGTATCCATACACAGGTATCCATGTGCATGTACACACATACATATACACACACACACACACACACACACACCAACTAGCACTGGAAAGAGTGTCTGCCAAACACCCAAGGAAAAAAATTCAATGAAGCATATAATCAATGGAAAAACAATATTGGTTCCCCAAATACTGGAAGAGAGAACAATAGGGTGGAATTATTGGATAAAACCTCACAAAGAAGATCTTTCAATCTCAGCTTGTCTCTGAAGGCTACAGAGGCCAAGACACTGATAAAATTTTGGGAACTTATACTATGCATGAGAATGTGATAAAGCCACGTAGCTGGAAACTTACAGCAGCAGACGGAGACCCGCCACAATTCCCTAAATGCTTTTCTAGGAGTCGTTAGATGGTTATGAGCTTTGCTGGTGTTGAATATGATGTATCACCAGTGTTTAATTCCAGGAAGTTCACTTTCCCCTGATAAAAATGCTACATAAAACTCATCGCCAGGAGAATGTAACTGTCTCAGTCCTCGTACTCTCCATGTAAATGATTTGTTCAAAGTAATATTGATATGACTTGCCAATGACAAGAGAGAAGTCTGAGAACAGAGGGAGATAATTCTGCTTTCTTTCACATTCTTAGAGTGTTCACTCCACTGTACAAAGTAATTAGGAGACTCTAATGAGTCACTAGCACAGACCACACAGCACAACAGATGATGATGATACTTATAACTAATGATGTTATAATTTAGCTTACAGGACCCTTTCCTAATGAAAGGGAGAGATCATCTGTGTATGTGTTAAGGTCAGAGGTCAACCTCAGGTGTTGCTCCTCAGCACAATCCACTTTGTTTTAAAAGTTACATTTATTACTGGAGGGGTAATGCTAGCCATGGTGTACGCAGAGGTCAGAGGTCTGCCCCCTCCTTCCACCACGTGGTCCTAGAGATGAAATTCAAGTTGTCAGCGATGACAGCAAGCATTTTTGCCTAGGGCCATCTCACTGGATTCCTACCTTGTTTGGCTTTTGTTGTTTTAAGATAGTCTCAACTGGGAACTAGCTACCAGGCTGGCCTCAAACTGGGAGCCACAGAGTACTGAGGTTAAAGGCATGTATCCAACCCACTATGTTTTTTGAGGCAGGGACTCTTGCTTGGTCTGGAACTGAGTAGGCTACGCTGGCTGGCCAGCAAGCCTCAGGGATCCTCCTGCCTCTGCTTCCTCAGCACTGGGATTACAAGCACAAACCACTATACTTGGCTTTTGTGTGATGTGGGTTCAAGGAAGCAAATGCTTCTAAAGGAGCACAATACTTACTGAGTACTGTCTTCAGACTTCATGGTGGAAAATTTAAAAATATAGCTAATGGTGATGCCACTAACCCTGTGCTTAGGAGGCTGGGGCAAGACCACAAGTTCAACTCCAGCCTGACCACACAGCAAGACCGCATCTCAAACAACAAATGAAAAACCAGTTAAGTGCTAGAAAGGAAAGATGAAAATGGGTTGCTTTTCTGACATAAGGACCCACTGTTTCCTGAATTCCTGGACTAACAATCCTCCTGTCTCCCAAGCAGGAGGATGGAACAAGTGTGTACCACTGCACCTGGCTTGAATGTCACTCTAACACGGAGAGGTCAGGCAAGGTTATACACAGCATCATGGTCATGCGATACCCACCCCACCCCTCTTCTGTATTATTTAATGTACAAAGTAGTCTTCCCGGACAGATATGCCACACCTGGATCACAGGCATACCAGGGTGGTCACAGGTGGCACTGCACCTGGGTACCCACTATCGTCCTGAGCCACACACGTCAGGTGAACAGCAGCTTCAGCCGTGAGCTGACTGCCAAGGTTTTCCACCTGATCCGACTGTATCTCAACTGTACCTTATCGCCCCAATCGAAGGATGTGAGGGTGGCAGCCCCACCCTGTGCTTTACGGCTCAAGAGCTGAGGGTTCTGAGAGCCTTCAACATCGCACCAGCTCATCCACAGTCTCCCCCACAAACTCCTGTCCCCCATGATCAATGGAGGAAAAACCTAAAATAAATTTCGATCACTCAGCAAGTCAACTAATCTAACAGACGTCGCCAGCTTTCTCTTTGAAAGCTTATCTGAAAAAAAAAAAACAAAAAACAAAACCCTATACTTTTTTAAACTATTTTTTACAATTTACATTCACTTCTCAAAACGCTGAAGGTGGTGCCAGCTACTGTTGTTATAGAAAGCCCACCAGCTGCTTGAAATGGCTGCGGATTGACCTTGAATTTAAAACAGTTTGGGCTCTTCAGAAACACTGATGAGATACCAAGAATAGAGATTCCAAATTACCAGATAAAAAGCAAAATTCTTAAATAAGATTATCTACTAAAGATTCAAAAAAAAAAAAAACATAAAAATTAAAGAAAAAGAAAAACAGAAAATACTGTAAAAAGGATCCACCCATGAGCTTAAGAAATGGAATTAACCTTATCTACCACCACCCACAACCCACTATTTCACTTGCAAAGCCATGCAGACCTGCACAGGGCCTCCAGTAGTTTAACCTGAGATAAGGATCTGGGGTCTTTCTAGAGAGAACAATCACAGTGGTAGGTGGACAACCGTTCAATACTAGACCTCAATGGAAAACGTACACCCCAGCTTTGCTTATGGCTATGGAAATCTATCTGGAAATTGTCAGGGCACTGGCTTGAGAAGAGCTGCAGGGGAGACAGCACAGACACCCCACAAGCAGAGGTTCGCCACTGCAGACTCCTGGCCGGCTAACACTGGAAGAAAACACCCTGATACACACAGCATCATCAGAACTGCCTAGGGATGGTTGGAGTCCAACTCATTGCTGCGTGAGGGTCTGCAGAGGCAAGGACCTCGTGGAGTTCTGAAGGCCAGCCTCCTACTCCGCCAGCATCTACCTCCTTCCCCTTTGAGTCTCTGGCCCTCTCCAAAGGACCTCTGCCCACAAATAAAGCCCTACAAGAACAACAGAACTGCAGATTTTTCACCTCAAGGGTGACTAAGAAACTCAGTGTTCTGGGATCTGGAATGCTAACTTTGGGGGTTGATGTTTCTTAGGACACTGGGAAGGCAGCGAAGATCATAGCTGTGTCTAAGCAGGGCCTCCAATGACCTCTGAAGTTACAGAAGGCAAAGGTGCTCACATGTCAGTCTTCCAAGTTACTTCACCAAAGTACAGTATGGCCACCAGGCAAGATGGAGGAAACACAGCTTCCTACTGCCTCATCCCACCCTGTGGGGGTGCAGCCTCTCCTGATAAAAACACTTCCACATGCAGTTCAGGGAAGACAAGGTCAAGAAAGGTCACAGCTAAAAAAAAAGTGTCCTAACACCCTTGATGACAAACACCAGCTACATTTCAAAGATTTCCATCATGAGCACCTGAGTTCCCAGTAGGGTGCTTCCCCAAGCCAGTGGGCCACTGCGCACATCCAGGGAGGCCCGTCTGCTTAACTTGGGCTTAGCTCATTGTAGTGAGCATCAAAGAGAGGGGTTTCATTGCAGTGAGCATGGAACAAAGTGGGTTCACTACAGTGAACATGTAACAAAGAGGGATCTGCTGCAGTGAGCATGTGACAGTGTGGGGTTCACCGCAGTAAACATTTTTCAAGGTGGGCTCACTGCAGGGAGCATGTAGCAAAGTCAGGTTCACTGCCATGACACGGTGGCAGAGGAGGGTTCACTGTAAAGCTGCTAACAATGTAGGGATCACTGCAGTACCCATGACAGTGGCATGGGTGGAAGGTGGAAGGTGGAAGACAGAGAAGAAACAGACCACTTGACAACTTTCAATTAATAAACACCATCTTTTATCCTGTTTTCTTAAAAATTCCAATGAGAGAGAGTGGATATAGACAAAACAGTGGGTCTGTACAAGTCCTCCTGTGAGGCACAGAGGCTTGCTGTGGCTGTCTACGTCAAGAGGCAACATGGATGGTCTACTGGTAAAGATCTCCAAGACATGGGCAGCCTACGGATGGCCCAGAGATGACAGTCACTCTAACCGGTGTCTCTACACCTGGCATGGTGGCAGCTAGAGCATAGATAACCTCCTGCCCTGCCCCATGATTCATTTCTCCAATAGCTGGCCCAGGGGGAAAGAGAGCCATGACAGGTGGCTTCACTAGAGCTCCAGCAGCACAAAGACTTGGCAGCTGCAGAGCTCTCCTTGTTGCCAACATGGGCCAAACCTCAGGGGAGGCTGGGGGTTCTGTGGCATCAAACAGCCCAGTACACCAGTGGGTCTAGCCTCAAGAGCGATGCACAGCTACAGACTGGTTACTGTGACACTCACCATGCCACCCCACCCATTGAGAAAGAGAGAACCCACACGACAGGGACACATGATACTTCTAGCCATTGGGAGCTAGAGAAATTACAAATGGAAACTTGGGAAATTACCACTTCTTTCACCCTGAGCAAGGAGTGGTGTGTCCAGAGGTAAGTCCAGCATTTTGGGGAATACGCCATGCCCTCTCCCTGCCCATCCGTTGGATGCAGTCTCCAGGGTGAAAGCTGGAGCTCTGCTTACTCAGTCAGCAGAGTAGAAGCAGGAGGCAGATGAGATGTTACACATCATTTATTTCTCTGAGAAGGCAGAGCCAGGAGGACTCTCCTGTCCCACGCTTCTAGGCCCAACAAGGGAAGCAGGCACACTATCCACCAATCAGAATCAGACAGGAAAACACACTCGCTGCTCTTCATGGGAGAAAGATCTAAAGATAAGTATTAAAACGAGCTTCCCTTCAAACTCAAAGGAGGTTTTAAAAAAAGATCAAGTATAAACAAAACAAAAATAAAATAAAATAAAATAAAAAAGAAAAGAAAAAGGAATAAAAGGAAAGTGGATGAAACCGCCAATACTCCTGAAAGCAAGAGTCTCTGGTGACTGATTTCTGGAAGAAGCCGAGGCAGGAAAGAACGGTACAGAGATGGAAGTGGCCGGCCATGTGAGTGCCTTGAAGACTCCACAGTGCTCTCCATGTCCCAGGCCAAGTAGCTAGTCCCGGTAAGTTAAGAATTTTCTATTAAGAAGAAAACAAAACAAAATAAAAACCACTCCAGAAAAAGGGGTCAAGGGAAGAGGAAGTGCGTAGAAAGTCAAGCCGCTGACCGCCGGCGGATCACGAAGAGCCCACGCTGCAGCTGGCCCAGGTAGATCCTCATCTTGGTGCTGTCACTTGTCTTCCTCACCCAGATCTGTGGGGACAGGAGGGGAGGAATGAGACAGGGACTTCCTCGTGGCTGGGTGCGGGCAGGGAGTGTCTGCTTGAAGTGGCCACCTAAGCACCATGGCTTCAGAGGCCGCTCCTGGAGCCTGAGCACTGTGACGCTCAGCCGGCACCCACACCTCTAACGGTGTCAGTTCCATTTCTGCCGTAGTCATCAAGACTCCGGGCTTGCTGATTACATTTCAACACCTGAGAGATATGCATTCAGGAGCAACAGCTTTTCAAACCAATTTAAACACATTTTCCTTGCCCCAGAAAAATCCCCTCATTTAGCCTTACAATGCTAAAGACCTGAGGACGGTCCTCCAGCCTCACCAGTTCCTTGGACCCTGTGGGATGAACTATCAGGTGCCCAACTCACAACAGCCCTATGGGGTGTACTATGGGGTGCTTCACTCACAACAGCCTTGTGGGGTGTACTATGGGGTTCTCTGCCTCACAGTACCTCTTCCTCTGACTGACTCTCCATGACTTGGGTAATTAAATGGCCTAAAGCAAGTTTTGGGGTCAAAGTCTGCCCCTCATATACAGACTCTGCAGATAGAACTCTCCTTCGCCACTCAGGCTTCAAGTTGTAGGCTTATTCTCAGTCTCACTTCAGTTCCAGGGTGACGAGTGAGTGACAGAAAAACAAATGTAGAACAGCCTAAAACAAAGCAAGCCGGAGACCCTGTATGAAGCTAAGCCTCCAGCAAGACCATTTTAAATAGAAAACTGACCCCAAGTGGTGCTGAGCCAGGGGTCACCCACTTGCTGGACCACTAGGCACACACCCCCACAAAGGCCAGGCACCTCCAGAGGTACATGACCGTGGATCTGAAAACGGAGCTGCTCCCAGGACTGAGGCTGCACCTCCACCACCAGGCAGAGCTTTCACTGCCTGAGGCCTCCTCTCTTTGGGAGCTGCTGCAGGGTCACCATCTGCTCACTGGACCACACTGGCACACTCTACAGCAGAATATGATGGTCTTCATAGGTCCTAGAGAGCCTGCACGCTCTGGAGAGCAGCCCACCAAAAATCACAGACCTCGTGCTGGGGAGCACTCTGTCTTTCTGGAGGACCCTCGTTCTGGCTCTGGCTTAGAGGCAACTCATAAGCCCAGCCCAGGGAAGAATGGCATTCCTTTATCTAAGACTGACTCCAGATTCCAAGCAAACTATCACTTTGCAAACTGGTCACATTTGAGGGCATTTTCGATTCAGGAAGCTGAGAGAATACCAGAGGCTTAAGTTATTTCATAATCCAGTTTCATTAGATTTACTGTGCACTGGCACAAATCACTAACAGTGGGGAGACACATAAAAATCAATTTCTTTGCAGACATTTGTGGGCTGATAAAAGATGAAGCTAAAGCAGCTATGAAAGTTTCAGACTTTTAAAACTTCTAATGGTATGAGACACTGCTGACATCTTCCTAACGAAGGGTCAGTGGGAGCCCTAGGGCCGTCCTGGCATCCCTGGGCAGCACACTGAGCAGCTTTAAATGCAGGTCTAATCCTGCAGGAAATGCACCAAAAGGCAGGCCTGCCAGCTTGGTGTTCAGAGGCACAGCAGGGCATGTCAGACTGGAAGAATAGCCAGGATTTGCAGGCCAGCAACACCAGCACCCATTTACTGAGCACTTCCTGGGTGCTGGGCCTACTAGCCCCCACAGAAGAATCAAGTCTGTTGGCATGTAGAAGAGGAATTTCTAAATACATATGCCCGGGGGCAGTGTACACTGGCTTCCTCCCTCTCCTGGTGTTAGCTCAGTGGCTCCCAACCCAGTAGCCGCACAGGAGGGCACCATGGCCCCATTGCACTCGGAGCTACAGGGCCTGGCTTGGGCAGGCACGAGGGCTCGAGACTGATCTGGCAGTTTCCCAACAGTGCTGACCTACCCCACACAAGACAGGACTGCACAGCTCATCTGGGGTGGGGCTTCCCATTTCATGTGTGGTACTTTCCTTACTTCTCAGCGCAGTGTGCTCTCCTCACAGGGAAGAAATCTGATCCCTACCTCATTGGCTCCCACTGAGCTGATCACACAGCTCAGTTTCTGGTTGTCCTTGGACTCTAGGTAGATGGCCTGGCTCTTGTGGTACCTGCCAAAAACAGAACACAAACAAAGAAATGAGGAAGGACAGGAAGGAGAACAAAGCACCACCACAGAAACCATTACTCCAGGGGTCTCAGGACATGTAACTAAGAAAAGCGTGGGCTTCAGAAGCCAGAAGGCTTCCACCTTGAGACCAGTGGTCTCCAATCTTATGGATACAAAACCAACCTTGGCCCTCTGCAAAGAGGAATAAAAGGCTCAGGGGAAGGCTAGAGAGCTGTGTAATCCACCTTCTCTCAACATTACTGGAGGCTGAACCCAGGACCTGCTTACTGTATGCAGGGTAGGTGCTCCACCACGGAGCTGCATTCCTAGGCAGATGCTCCACCACGGAGCTATATCCCTAGGCAGGTGTTCCACCCAGGAGGTGCATTCCCAGCCTGCCTTGCTGAACTTTTATTTTGAAACACTCTCACTAAGTGGCCAAAGCTGGTCTTGAAAATACAATTCTCCTGACTCACCCCACCCCTCCCAAGTAGCTGTATTGCAGGCCTAAGCAAGCCAGTATGCCCTGCTATAATTTCCTATTGGTACTATATAACCAAGTTCAGAAAGTTAAAACTTAAATGTCGGATCGGTTGCACTTTCTGGCCTCACCCTGAAGCACCCTGCAGGAGGCTGGCACTCCAAACAAACAGAAGGGTCTGGCAACCCATTTTCTGCTTGTCCAAGCAAGCCATCAACAAGAAGGAACTTTGCATTCAGTCCTTAGTTCAGCCATCTACTCAAAAAGAATCAGGAGACACTTAACAGTGTCTGACCACTGACTAAGCCTGGGGCGGGGTGGGAGGGGAAGCTTCAAGGTCCACAACACAGGAACATTAAAACCCACCATGGCAGACACTAAGCAGGCACAGCCTAAGTCCCAAAAGGAGCAGGAGTGAAGGACTGTGCCTTGGCCACTCTGGCTGGGAAGGCTAGGAACGGAGTGGCAGGGAGTGGCTCCTCACTCTGCCTAGCATCAGCTCTCTGCCCTGCTGCACAGCTACGTCCAACTTGCCCAAGCTCAGCACAAGACCAAAGATGAAGAAGAAGCCAAATGAACAACAGGATGAGAGAGCAATTAGCTGTTCTCAGGCCCCAGAACAGCCAGGAACACAACCTCTGACTCATTCTGCTACACAAATATGGCAGAGAGCCTCAAGCTCCTATGAACTGTTGTAAAGCCACACCCCACACCCCCAGGCAGGATGCTACATCTCAGTGCACTATTTCATGACAGTGATGGAAGAGTTACTGCCCAAACACAGGCTCCATCCATGAACTCGCTCCAGCCTAGGCTCTAAGCAGCCTCCACCCGACTTGGGAGCTGAGCTCTCGCACTTCCGGGCTCCCTCGTCAATGTCCTCCCTGAGAAGAACAATGGGAGGCTGGCTGGATCCAAGCTTGGATGCTGCTGCTGCTGGTCAAGACCTCTCATTATATGTGTATCACAAGGTCTGCATCGCACACCACACAGCATGAGGGAGGCCACGCACACTTCCCTTGGTTTCTCTGCAGCATCGGAGTCAGTGATCCTAGTCAATGGCAGCCTTCAAGAGAGGGAAGCTGGGACTCAGGGGGGTCTAAGGAGATTGTGTCATCACAGAATGAGATCTGTGAAACAACACAGGCGGCCTCAGCCACTCTAGTTCTCCTCTCCAACACTTCAAAAACAAAGGTCACAGGGTGAGGCACAAGCATCACCAGCCTGAGGTGCACTTGGTATGGAGCTGAGGGGAAACACAATACTGGCAACGGTACAGTGTGTGTGATAAAATGTGTACATGTGTATTACACGCACAGAGAAAAACTAAGGGAAACTTCCGCTAAATACAACATATGAAACACAAATGATGAATGGTATTCTTTTTATTGTACAGCTTTCACTGTGTGTGTGTGTGTATTTGGAAAAAAGTTAAAAAGCTACATCAGTACTAGTAATTTAGTAAAAATGCACATTTCCCCTCATTAACTTATTGTATAAGCTGTGATTCAGCTGCTGGGGAAAAAAAAAAAACACAACATTTTAAGCATCTGAGACTGAGGCTCTGTATGGCAGATTGACTTACTAATGGAAACTCTGACCTGGAACCTCCCAGTTAAGCTCCCAGTTACATCCTTAATGCTCTGGATTGAGATGCACTGGCCTAGCAAACCTGGGTGCTTACTTTTTGGCAGGTCCAAGAGAGGGATGTGGAGTGGGAGAAGCTACTGAAGTCTATGTACTGCCAAGAATCCTAATAGTCACAGAATAAAATTAACGTCATTTCCCAAAGCCTGACCCACCTCACAGCTCTAGAGGCTCAACGGGTCCCACTGACACTGCAAACAGGCCCATAGTCAGGTGACAGCTAGAAGCGGTAATCTACTCATCAAGGAATGACTCCATCAGGGTAGAGGAGAGTAGACAGAGAGAGGGGGGAGAGGAAGAGAGACACACACACCCAGCAGCGCCTTCAGTGCTTTTCAGAGCGTCTTCCGTGAGGGGTCATTAGTCTAAATCAAAACATAAGGCAAACACAAGCTAAATGACATAGAAAGCAGGAAACCAAAGCGAAGAAGACAGGGATGCAACTGGACCATGCCAAGATGGAGCCCTGCCCTGCACTGCCCTGCTGACATCATTGAAGCCCCTAGGAAAGACACTTTGCAAAAGTACCCCACCTCAAGAAGGGATATCAGGATTCAGAAGCTCCCCAAGCCCGAGGCTGTGTCTGTGGAAAAAAAGAAAAACAACAAAGGAATCTTCCAGAGAGACAACACCTCGGGCCTGATGGGAGTGACAGGTTGGTTCCGGGCTATTGAGACCTCAAGATGGGACTTCCCAAGCCCCCTGAAATAAGAGCAGGGCAGGGCAGGCCCAGCTGCCAACACCTCCATAGGACTGTCTGTGCAAACCAAAGAGGAAGAGCACTGCACCAGAAAGAAAATGACACGTGCTTAACAGCACAAAAGCAACATCAAAATTCAGCGACACTGCTTTTCCAGTCTGTTCTACTGACATGGGGAAGATGCTGAGTTCTGACACTTCAAACCAGACCCTAAGCTGAGAGGACTAGACACAGCCGTTGTGGGTTTCTCTTCTAAAAAGAAAATTATTTTACTACATTTTCCTCTTCAAGACACATCTCATAGTCTTGGGACCCAGTCCAGAAAGATGGAAGAGTGGAGGCCACAGTTACAAAATGAACATCGTCTGAAATATCACACTGGCCAGGAGACTCACAGATCCGTAGAACTGTTAGCCATAAATCTCATCGTTCCCAAAGGCCATTCTTACATGCAGGCCTGATCTTTAAAGGTTATTTGGTTTTCATTATTACAAACATTTTTTTAATCTCACTTTACCCCTAGTGTTGAGCAGCTACGGCCTGCCACCTAGTGGCAGCACACTGAACTAAGCAACAACTATGCCAAGCTAGGATACCCACTGACTGACCTTCTGCAAGGGCGGAAGTCATGCAGCAGGCTGGCAGACCTGCTCGGGGGGGCCCCCACATTCCCCCAACCTCCAGGCTGATCTCTAAGCTTTTGATGGAACAGGCTTCATGGGAAGTTCCACAGCCCGGATTCAGCCAAAAAACATAACTGTATCAACATGAGCCTCAGAAAATAAGACCCGCATGTTAAAGTGACATTAATGCTGGGAATCTGACAAGTAAACAGCTCAGCATATTTACGCAATATTGTGTTGTCGTTGATATAAGAAATATGGAGATGATTTAAAATACACAGAAAGACAGGTTTAGGGCTTTTTAGTTTTTAGTGTGTGTATGTGTGTGTGTGGTCAGCAGACAACTTGCAAAGGTAATCTGACCTGCTTAGTCCTCTCAGTCCCAGGGTTAGTTTTCTAAGTGCACACTGCAGTTTTATGCAGAGAACTGAGAATCATAACTTTGGCTTCTGAGGTTCTGGGACCTACCAAGGATAGTGAGAGATGACTAGACATATCAGGTAATGAACTAACGTGACTACAGTCAACTCACAAGGTCACACTTTTGTTAACTTTTGGCTAAATAAAAACATGGAGCCAGGCACAGTAGGAGGAGGCAGAGGAACGTGGATCTCTCTGAGTTCAAGGCCAGCCTGCATAGGAACACTCAACAGTAACACTGGACATTGGAACTAAAGAAAACCTTTGAAAATATGGCAGAATTAGTGGTGAGCTAATGCCTAGGATGTCTAACTAGTGTTTGCTAACTGAATAAATGTATGAGCCTCTCCAGTTCCTTCCCATTGTTTCCAGTGAAAGCCGCAGGCAATCTGAATGGTTCAAATACCCTCCATCTAAGTGTTTTAGGATATAATGTCCTATGTACACTTCCTGGAACACCTTGAAAGCCAGAGGAATGGCTAAGAAAAGGGTACACCTGTCAAATAAAAAGCATCTAAGATGTGAGAAACCTGCATCTTTGAGAAGGGCACCCACTCGGCTTAGGTAACAGTACCCTCCCCTAACCTGGTCAGATCACAAAACCCTTTTCTCCCATAACCTTTAGCATATAGAAGACGTGGCGGAGCAGAGAACCTGCCCTGTCCTGGCTAGTCAGGGACTGCTATAACGCTAGTGTGCAGACAGCAACATGGTGCAGAAAGGGGTCAGCACCAAGGGACACACTTGGAGAAACAATGCTCTCAAGTGACCTCACGGAGGCATCCACCAGCTGGCACTCACAGTCCCAAGGGGAAGACTCTAAGTCTGGGCCAGAGCCCCAGTACGTGGGTTTAAGCCTTAGCACCACCAAAAGAAATTAAAGTAATATATAAAGAGCTGAGGTGAGAAAATACTGAGACATCATCAGCCTACACGGCCCCAACCCTCCAAACAGTTCTTCTGAGACCACCATGAGCAGTCCATACTCCTCACAACTTACCATCTCTTATCATAGTACAGTTTGCCGTCTTCTATCCGAGCCTCAAATCTCTGCACTGGAGACTCTGCAGGTGTGGCAGGCAAGTGTTCGGGAGAGGACGGGGAAGCTGGAGGAATCAGAGACACCAAGATGAGCAGACAGTGAACCTGGGCCTGAGCATGGGGCCCAAAAATGACACGCAGTAACTGATAGCGCCAGTGTGGCCACAATCCCAACCAGCAAGTCCTTCAATTATATTTAGAGGCAGAGTCACTGTATTGTGTGGGTTGAGCATAGTGACTATACACAGGGGCCACTGGCTGTTCAGAGGGACTACTGTCCATTCACAGGGTCACTGGCTGTTCACAGGGGCACTGTCCATTCACAGGGACCACTGTCCATTCACAGGGTCACTGGCTGTTCACAGGGGCCATTGGCTGTTCACAGGGGTCACTGGCTGTTCACAGGGACCACTGGCTGTTCACAGGGGCCACTGTCCATTCACAGGGACCACTGGCTGTTCACACTGGTATGAATTACACCAACATCTGCAGCCTGGTGGCCCCTCATTGCCAGGCCATTCACACTGATTCTAAACTTAGTATGGACACCAAATCAGCATAGCTCACTCAGAAATTCTTGAATGTTTCAAGGGCCTTATGCCTTGTCTAGTAATGAAGACTAGGGCAGCCTGGGGCCTCACTGGGACCAGACCATCACTTGACTAGTCTTGCCAGGGCTTAGCTCCAAAAAGGCCAAGACACTGAGATTTCCTATGGTTTCATGATGTGGACCTGAACCTAATGCCCACCCAACACCTACACAGAAGGGAAACTTCAAGAGCCAATCAAATGTCTCCTTTATGATAGATTCTAAGGGAAAGACAAGACATCACAGCTGGCTCTAAAGATACAACATGGGAGAGACATGTTTATGATTCCTGTGGCTTTCCATGACTTCTTGCAGTCAAATAATGAGTAATTTACTCTTGGAAACCCCATCTACGCTGTTCCAATGACAGGAAACAAAGACTGGCAATGGCAGCAAGCACTCACCTGGTCTCTTGGGTGACTTAAGCTGTAGGAAGAATAACAACAAAAAAGTCTCAGCGAAAATCATCTTAAAAGCAACTTAAAGTGTCAGAGATGTCATGGTAACTTTAACAAGTAACAGGGGAACGAAGTAACAAAGGAAATTACATCAAGTGTGAGCTTTCAAATGCATCAAAAACATCCAGTTGTACCTTGTTTAGCGTTCTCAGATCCTCCATGATCTGCTCGTCTGTTAACAAATAATTTAGCTGAGGTGCTGAGAGTTAAAGGAACATGCCTGAATCACATGGCTTCCAAGGAGACACAGGCTTTAGAACTGGCAAATCCTGGGCTATATAAATTCTGTTTTCAAGGGAAGAACTTGCCTCTTTAAAAAGTTGACTCTCATGCTAACAGTCAGCAGGCATAGAGAAGAACTCACTATGCCCCACCATATAAACTGTTCAGAGGGGAAGGAAAGCTGTTCATTAGATGCTGGCAGTGCTGAGAGCACAGGAAAGTAAAGTGACAATCTAACCTCAGCTTAGAAAACACTTCTGCTCCCAAATTTGAAGCTTTCCAGACATACAGGGAAAGCCTAGTCTCACAGTGGCTTAAATCATGCTGTGAAGGTGAACAGGGCCTGAAGCAATGCCCTCTGCTGGTAGCACACAAAATACAGAACCACTCTGAAAAACAGCTACATATTAATCTCCTCGAGAGGGACAGAAACAGCTGATCCATGCTGGCCACGTCTATAGCTATCCAGCCTCTTTCCATAAACACCTTACCTACTTTTAGTACAGTCCACAACCCACTAGTGTAGAGACACTAACTGGTAGACCACGGCAGTCTGCAGCCCAGAAGTACAGAAGTGGGTAACTGGGACCACAGCAGGCAGTGCTGTCCTCAATCTACATCATAAGTTAGCCTTAGCTTGAAGGGAGTGTTAAATCAAGGCTGTTTCCAACAGAATACCTTCTACATAACCATTTTCTGGAAATCTCTCCAACAAAAAGCAATAGTTGGAAGGCTCCAGTGCAAAATGGCCAACCCGACCTATGGGTAAATGTTTCACATATGCTTTCTCATCCAGTAATTTACTACTGTTTTGTGGGATTACGGCCCTGTATACACTATAAATTGATAAGTTGATAAGCAAGGGATTTGCTATGACTCAAGCTTGGTGCAAAAGGATATCAGGAGCCGGTTTTCTCCTCTTGTCTGGAATGGGAACAGGATCATTTGGTCGCCTCCGTAGTTTTCTGGTCATGATGGGTTTCACTTCCATAGAATCTGTGACCGAATGGAAGGGGTGAATCTATCTGACCGCCGCTGAGGCCAGCTGGTGTCCCTGTAGTTCCAAGTGTCTGTCCCACAGCCAGCCATCCCAGCTTAGTGACTAAGCATGCTTAGTCTATGCACAACCCAGCCAGATGCCCATCCCAGCCTGTGGGCTCTGTGCTTAACTCAGTCAGGCCTCTGACCCCAGCCCAAGATCCCAGCATCCAGTACCCTCAAGACCTAAGAGCTCTTCCTCCTTTCCCTCAAGGTGAGAAGTCACAGTCACAGGCTATGGGACTGAAAGGAAGCTGGGGATCAGATAGCAACCCCATTTCTGCTGCTCTCATAGAGGCTGAGTGCTGAGCCTCAGCACTCATGGACAGAGAAGGCCCCTGGCCCAGCCAAAGTTTTTATATGAAGTCTTTGTTTACAGACACCCAACTCTCTTCTTTGTCTTTGTAGCTACCTGAGGTCAAGACTGATACAGTGAAGACAGGGAACAGGGTCTCTTTTTATTCTGACATCTCTACAAAAGGCTGCAGCCGATGGACTCCACACAGGGAAGTCCTCTACTCCAGGAGCTAGCCTGGTACCTGAGTCTGAATCTGCCTGCAGTTGTATTTCTAATTCTAGCAAGAGCTGCTACTCAGAGCTTCAAACATTGGCTTTGGCCAGTGAGCCTGAGAGAGCTCAACCTGGGCAGTACGAAAATCAAACTCCCAGGTCTGAAGCACAGACCCTGGAGTGTGACAGCCTTGAGAAGCCACCAAAGCAGTTCGGTATGTCTCAGTTGTGTACACTCAACCCAACTGCCTTGCATTAGAAGCCTCCCTTGTTTCCGAGGCATAGGCACTTCCTGGAGTCCCACCCGATCTGCCTCTAATAGTCCAGTTCCTTACCCATCCACTCACTGGGAAATCTCCCAGACCCAGGAACCCCAGCCAGTGCGGGGCCTGCCTCAAAGGGAACAGTGAAGACACGGGTGGGCACCAGGTAGTCTAGCACGGCCCCTCTGGACAACATTATTACTACAATAACGGCAACTAACTGCCTTTTGTTCTGGACCCCCTAGGCTGTTCTCACTTCCTGCCCCTCCCCAGCTGCAGTTCAAACTTCCCTTTACCGTACTTTACCCATAAAGCAAGCTCACCCATCTCCCTCCTAAGTGGACTCTAAGGGAGTGAGCTAACCCCAAAGAAGCATAGGCAGACAGACAAGGGGGTGAGCAGAAGTTGGGAGAGAGGAAAGGGGAAGAAAGGGAAGTAGCTGGGGGAAAGAAGGAGGTAATGGAAGAAAGGTCACTATCAAGTTCCAGCTCAATGAGGGGAATGAGTTCTGGTCCTGCTGCACAGTAGTGACTACAGTTAAGTACATACATTGAGCATTTCAAAGCAGTCTCTAGGACCTGAGACGTTTGGGGAAAAGAACAGCTGCAATGATTTCAGGCTTGCAGCACACAGGAGTGTGACATGGGGCCCCACTGGAGCAGCACAGCCTTGTCCTTCTGTAGTAGCTGGAGGCTCACCCACACCATCACAAATCACTGCTGCTGCGGTGAGCAAAACGAAGGTGAAAGCAGGTCACAAGCGTCAACATCAAGTGTTGAGGATGAACCACAGTGGGAACAAAGACACAATCTCCAAGAGACCAAAGTTGCCCAGGAGAAGGGGCTGACATTTAGATAGAGCCCGCTAGCCCCACATCAGGTCACTTCAACCCCTGCCCCCTGTCTCTGGGCAGATATATTTCTGCAGTCTTTGCCATGACTTCCAAAGCCCCTTTCACTGGAATATTAGGTGCTGCCTACTACAACCACATTAAAGCGAGCCCTGTTAAATCTTTATCTCGCCTTGAACCTGGAAGGTGTGGCAGCTCAGTCATCTGGGAACTATCCAGATACCATCTCCTCCAGAACAGCCCAGCCAGCAGCCTGACTTTCCTGACTCAGTGGAGTGGAAGTAGCCTGCCTAACATAGTTAGAGCAGACTTGAAGACAGACAGACTGGCTTAAGTAGAAGCTAGGTCCTTTGGGGACTTAGGGCAAGAGCCTGACTTCTGATTCAGTTCTGCCATTTATAAACCTGGAAAATGACACCCAAATCAAGTGAAGCTGTGCAGCTAAATGACGCTACATTTGCCAGATGCCGGGTACCTGTCCTGCGCTAGCCAACCGTCCAAATATTCCACAACCCCTCACCAGGCAAGACAATGCCCCACAGGAAGAGGCCTGTGCTGGAGCAGGGCTCTTCCCAGCCAGTGAGCCTGCATAGGCAGGTGCGCTCACGACCTCACAGGAGGCAACAGACTTCTACCTTGACATGATGATCACTCACAGGGCCAGCTACAAAGCCAGTATTTCCTAGAGCATGGGTTTTATTGAGATCATGAGTAACTTCCAACAGGGGTTTCAGGGTTAGACGATACCCCAGTAAGCAAGTGTAGCAACAAAATGGCTGACTACTGAAAGGAAAGGCAAATAGAAAATGATCAAGCCTATGCTGGAGAGGGGCTTCCTTCAGAGGAGACGGGTTCAGCTCTCATTTCAGTCAACTCAGAACTGACCGCAATTCCAGCTCTAAAGCCATCTGGTGCTCCCCTCCAGGCTCTGCAGGCAACTGCAGGCATGTGGCACGAGCGTGTGCACCCTCACTGAGACAAATCTTGAAAAAAAATGGTAACACTCCTGATAAAGAGCATGAGGCTCTCTCTGGTCATGTGTTGCTCACAGCCCCGGCCTCCACATCAAAGGTTCACATTCGGCTCACTCTGCCTACCAGAGAGTGGCCCAACAGCCCATGGGCAGGCCCTGGGAGTAGGAAGGCCCACCCTCAGACCCTCAGCAGCCCCCAGCTTTCACAAGAAAGCACAGCACACAGCACTGCATGAGCAATTAGCCTCTGGAGTCCCCAGGAGGCTGAGGATATGGACTGCCTCCTGCTAAGCACATGGATCCCGGTTCCTAAGTAATCCTGCTAGACAGAGCAGGTGGCCCGGAACACCTGCTCCTCACGGCCTTTACACCAACCTCTCATCTACTTTTTAAGAGAAATCTCCAGGTTGAAAAGGCGTGGTCCTCTCCTCTCTGGACAGAGCTGGAAGCAGTGGCTCTAGGCACCAATCCAGAGGCGAAACAAGTCAGTTGACTTGTCTCCATCTATCTGACACCACAGAAGCCCCAACTGCAGAAGGCCTATTATCCTTCCAGCCTCAGTGCCTTCCCTCCCACCCTCCATCATTACCTTGGCAGTACTCCACACACCAAGGTACCGGATGGCTTGAGGAAGGACATCAGTACCTTTATACCCATGGATGTCTTTAAACGCTTCTGCTTTATTGCATTACAGATGATTTCCCTGCCTTTATTTGTCTTTTTGCCTCCTGTCTCAGTTCAGAAGCTGGCTATAAAACCGCCTGGCCAGTGCCTGCTGCTTGTCAGTAACTAGCACACCGAAGCACACATAAGGTGAGTATGTCTTTCCCTGCAGATGGAGTGGAAGCAGCTCTAGAAGGACAGGATTTCCCAGTAGCCTTATGGAGGCTCCCGAACAGCTGGAGACTCTGGCAGAGAGCTATGAGGAGTCAATGCCAGTCACAACCACCATCAAGAAAACGACATGTGGATCAAGACAAGGACATTGGTACCAGACAAGGACACTGGTACCCGACAAGGCGGTAATGCCTGACCAACACTGCTCTATGACAGGGAAGCGATGCGGCCTGAAGGCACTACTAGAGCACTCAAGCCACACTCATGCCCTCAAGAGCTCACTGCTCCTTACAAGCCCTGAGCAGGTTTTCAAAGGTCTAGCTCCCCTCCCCAACCCCAGCAAACACTGCCTCATCGTCATCAGGGACCTGTGGATAGAAGTCAGCCTGTGTCAGTGGGATGGCCAAGCTGGCTCACAGCACAGACACAAAGGGGCACACGAGCTGTAACTACCTAGTTTCTGACCCAAAGTCAGCTCCAAGGATTTCCATGGAAACACACATGTCCTATGCAGCCCTGTTAAAATCAGCTATCCCAGAGCCCCAGAACCTTCTTCACAACGATGAAGATTAAGTTTCGGGCTATGCACCACCTACGTAGCCATGTGGCAAATTCCGTGCTGACTGGCAGCATAGGCCCTGCCAAGTTCTAACCAAGTTCTAACTGCTGGTTCTTGCCAGTGCTGTGCACCGTCCTGTGAGTCACCCACAGTCTGCAGATGGCAACGGGAGACACCCACACTGCTTCCGCCGTCTGGGACCCTCTGAGCAACCTGCAGATGACCAGATCCCAGCTGGAAGGGTGGAACTAGAGTCCCAAAATGTGCTCTAGTTGCTCAGGATAGCGGTGCTGTGCCTTGGAAGTGAGTGCTAAGCTCCACTACCCTGAAGGGATCATAGATTCTGAGCCTCCCAGCACTGCCCTGGGGAAGAGAGCCACAGCACAGAAGAACCAAAGCTACCTTCCTCTTGCCATCTGAGGACAATGTTCCTCGTCTAATTGTTGCAGTCTTCAGGTGGCCTGGTAAGAAATTCGGAAGCGCAAGCCAGAGCCTGCGACTACTGCTGAGCATGTAGCTGCCTATCATGTGCCAACACCTGAGGCACTTAGTCCGGAGATGAGGTGGGATCTAACCTCTACAAGAAGAAGCTAAGCAGCCGGACTGAAGTCCCCAGTTGGTGCAGGGTGGAGGTGAGATGCTGATGTGGTCAGGAAGCTGGCTATGCCCTGCTGCCAGGCATGAGAGCAGAGAGGAGGGCCGTCCCCAGGACCCAGGGGCATCTGTACCTCCAGTCAGCTCCATCGTAAGCTTTTCATTCTCAATCATCTTTTTCTTTTCCTCAAGCTCAGCAATCAAGTTCTCCTTCAGCTCGACTTTCTTGTCTTCAAACTCCTTCACCGCTGCCTTCTTCTCTTTAATATAGTTCCTTTCCACCTGTTCAGTCTGATCAAAACAGAGATGGAGGCTGGGGCGGCATGGCCAGGGGCACCAGACCGAGGTTAGCTCTGACCTCAGGAGGAGAGAAAGCCTGAGACCTCATTTCACCCACAAAGCCCCATGGGACCAGGGGACCCAAACCCAGCCATGGAACAGCACTCACTTCCAAGGCACAGCACTGCCACCCTCACCCCACCCTCGTCCCACCCTCCCCCCATGAGTGTGAGGCTTTAACGTCAAAACAGAACTTGAGTCTCCCCAAGAGAGCAAGAGGTCCCTTTTGGAAGGACACAGTTTCAAGTAAAAACAGCCCATTCCAGATGAAGTTTCTGCATTCAAAATTAATTACATGATACTGAAGCCAGACAGCATGCTATTATGTTTGATCCTAAGAACAAAAGCAACCACAGACCATTCATTGGGCTCCTGAACCCTCAAGTACTCAAGCATCAAAATTAAGCTATTAATAAAATAAAACCTGCCTAATAGCCCGCTCGTGAAAGCTCACCCATGTCCTGGTGATGACTGTGGGCTGTGTGGCTGGAGCACATGCTCTGCCTGGTGGTAACTATGTGCGCCGAACTGATTTGAGTAAAAAGGTCTTCCAAAAAAAAAAAAAAAAAAAAAAAAGGAAGAAAAAATGCCTTCCAACAGTGTGAATCTGACAAAAATCTGAAAATCATCCCTTATGCTCCCAGAAGCAGCTGTCACTCAAAAAAACAGGCCCCCATCTCAGCACCACAGCATGAAGCTGTCTGTGACATGAAAGGAAACGTTGACTCCATTTTGCCTTCCGACCCTGTGAGGTCCCAAAACAAGACAGATCTATGGAGCCAACACAGAGACAGGGCTATGGGGGAACCACTAGCAAACCGCCAGGTGCTTCAAACAGTCGTGATGTGAGGTGAAGGTCTGCGGACAGGCGGTGAGCTAGGGCGATGGGTTAGTGGCGAAGGAAGCTTGCTGCTCCTCCAAAGGATTTGCAGGGTCCCAGCGCCCATACTGGGTGGCTCCAACTGTCTGTAACTCCAGCATCAGGGGATTCAGCACCTTCTTCTGGCCTCCAAAAGCACCAACACACATGTGGCCTTCTCTCACTGACACACATACACATAAATTTTAATTTAAAAAAAAACAAGGAAACAGAAGGGGCGGCACCCTAACCCGATGTGGTCAGGAGTGACTGTACAACACTCATGAACGGATGGGAGGTCCGAGCAGACACCAAGCACCCCTAACCGAGTGAGCAGTGGTGACACTTCCCAAATAGTACACCTGCTGGCAGAAGGAAAGGCCAGCAGACAGACAGTCAGATCCCCCAGCCTCAGAGGCAGGAGCCTGTAAATCCAAAAGACCCCTGGGTACTTACCTCCAGCTGGAGGAAGAGCTCTGAAAGAGAGAAAAGTGCAGTTAGATTCACCAGGCCACCATCTTTCCAGATATGGGCGTCAGGATCCACTGAGAGGCTCAGGCAGTTCTAGCCCTCCAGCCTGACACAATGCAAAGCTGGCCTCTCACTCAGGCCCACCCTGTAGGACAGCCCCGTGAGACCTACTGCACCCACTGTAGAGGCAGAGTCCATGTGGAAGCTTTCCAAGTGGGGTATATGCATGACAAGGCAGGGCCCTCTCCAGAAACACCAGAGGACAAGGGTCGGACTCAGCTAGGACTTAACGCTCGTCTCTCAAATTCTGGATGCAAGGCAGCCCGCTCCTGAGGCCTTCCCTGACAGACCCAAATTCATCAAGCCCTACTCTGAGCTTCTTAATGCCTACTGTGTGCCAGACAACTATTAACTGTCTACCTATGAGATGGCTATTTTTGGTTACCAACTCAACTACACCTGGAATTAACTGAAGCCTAAGTGGATGGGTGCATGTGTGAGGAATTGTGAAGACATTTGAAGTGGGAAGACACACCTTTAATCCAGATCTTCTGGGTTGGGAAGATCCACCTTTAATCTGGACCATACCTTTTGGTGCAGCCTCTATAAAGGACACGGAAGAAGGAAGCTTGCTCTTTTTGCCTGTTTGCCCTCATTCTCACTGACAAGTCCATTCCTTTTATGGCATTAGAGCCTACTTCCTGTAGATTCCAGCGTCTACAGAAGACCAGCTCAGACATCCAGCCTGGAACAACTACTGGATTCTCAGACTTTCCGGTGGAAGACAGCCATTGTTGGACTAGCTGGGCCATAAGCCACTCTAAGAGCCCTTTCTGAATATAAAGATGCATTCTATCAGTTCTGTTCCTCTAAATACAAACTAGTATCCCCACAAAGATGCTGTAAGCTCTGGTAAAGACAGCAAGTGACACAAAACGTTTCTGGGACTGCCTGTCTTTCCAGGTGAGTATGAGCCTACTACACTTGGTCAACAAAAATTATGGGCAGACCAGAAACTTCTGGGTTTCATAAGTTTACGGTTTCTTTTGCAAGTCTCATATACTACAGACCCATTTGCCTGTGAAAAGCACATTCACACACACTCCATGGAGCTTTCAGACTTCCAGAATTCAGGCTAAGAGCCCAGACATTAAGTCTAATGAAAAGCATTCAGAGCAAACAAGCCACTCATCCTAGAAGCTAGTGTCACTCCAGCCCAGTGAACTGTGGGTATAGGAGCCTGCTGCATGGTTCCTTAACTCCCTCGTTCCTTAATTTTATGGAGGTAGTTTTGTGGAGGTAGGTACCTTTGGCCAGTGAAATGGTGAGTTTCCTAAAGCCATGCACAATGTGTTAGTGATTTCACACTGCTCAAAGTACAAACACTGTACAGCAGACCAATAGCTTTCCATGCCACTACATGCTTAAAACATGTGGCGGCCACAAGGCCACAACCCCCTTCCCGGGTACAGACAAGTTAACCAAGGCATGATGAACTCCAGCCTCTTCTACCAAGCAGACACAAGCAAAGAACAACAGACCACAGGGGTCGCCCTGACCCCTGGAGGACAGGTGAACAACTCCATGTGACAAAGCCTTCCCCTCACCTTTCCCCCAGGGGAAGACTCAGGTGTGTCACGGAGAAAACTCTTCAAATTCTACCAGCCTGGACAAGTGGAAAGCGTGCAGGTGCCATGTGCGTGCTGGAGCACCCACCTGCGTTCCGGATCCTCTCTCTATACTGCTGGTCCAGCTTCTTCATCCTCTTCTGATATTCCTGTAACGTACCTGACAGGGGAGTCACAAAGCACAGAGTGACTCAGAAAATCAGCCCCCTGTGCATATGTCTCCTAAGTCACTTTCTAGCACCAAAGACCACTGCAGCTCCCCCTCCCATCTTGCCTTCCTCCAGGGAGTGAGGGCAAGGAAAAGGGCACAGATACCCAGGTGACGCTGACGATTGGGTCCCACAGTCTAAGACAATGGGCCTCACTGTCTTGGAGAAGGCTCATCCTCTTGCAGTGAGGTCTAGGTCAAGGCTATTCCGGAAAACTCTCGCTCTGCAATGTCCAAAACAGCGGCCAGTGTGGGCTGCTTCAGCACTAAAACTTGATCACTACAATGGAGGAACCTGATAACTAATTTTATTCAATTCAACATGACTTAGTCATGTGGCTCATAGCAGTCAGATGGTACAGGTGCAGATCCTGAAACCTCTGTTCATCCATCTCTCCCTGAGGCAGCTGTCATGAGCCCCCATCTGTAGGAAGTGCTTGCTGACACTGTCGCCAGTGGAGGACCGGAGCCCAGGAGCACACCTCCCAACAAGGAGACACCCACGGGAGAGCAGTTGTGCTGACAGGGACCCTACAGTGTGCTGCAGAGACCAGAAGCTGCACTGACTGGGTTCACACTGCAGCCAACGCTCTGCTCCAGGTCCTTTTTTCTTCACCTTATAGATGAAAAGAGATAGGTCATGACCTAAAGTCACATTCCTTAGAGAGCAGTGACACTGGGTTGCAAGCTTGTCACAGAACTTGGGGAGCCACCTCTCAGTCTCAGGCTGCCAGGCCTTTAATGGCCACCGCACTTGCAAGACATACTCACTTGTTATTTACCAAAGAGAGAGAGTAGTGTGGTGAAGCACGGGCTTGGAGGAAAACTGTGTGTGTGTGTACGCGCACACACACTTGTATGCGTCTGGAGGTCAGAGGACATCTTTTGGAGTGAGTTCTCTCCTCCCTCCATGTGAACTACAGGCATCAACTACGGGCATCAAACTCCTGGCATGAGGGTTGGCAGCAAGTTCCTTTACTCACTGAGCCATCATCTTGCTGACTCACAATACCCCTAGTCTATCTTAGACATGGTGGTCTTCAATCTATGTCCTGAGGCCACAAGGGAAACCTCAGATCAAGGATTTGTTCCCAACTGCAAAGAGTGAGACATGGAAGTCAGAAACTCACTCCTTGAGAAGAGACAGCAGCACATGTACAGATGGCTAAAACCAGCCAGACTCAACCCTCACTCACATTCCCAGAGAGGAGTAACTCACAGACCTCAAGGACTTGCAGCACAGGGCGCTGTGGAAGCGCAGAAACCCAGGGCTGTCCCACACAGAAGTTGCACACGGCAGTCACACACCTACCTTCCTGCAGCTGCTGCAGCTGCCTCTTCAAAGATGCCAGTTTGTCCTGATACATCCTGTAAGAGAGGAAGGACTCAGCTCATAGGCAGGACCAGGCTGTCCTGGAGATGCGACTGGTGGTCTTCGGGGCACAGAAGGGGAATCTGACGAGGAGGTTCGAGGTGGAAGGGATCCCAGAGAGAGCTGCCCTACACTGAAGCACAGTGGGTGTCTGTTCCTGGGAAAACTGGTCAACTGCGCAAAAGTGAGAGCAGTCGGCAGCGAGAAGCCCCTACAGTCCCAGGTAAGCCAGGGTGGACGGAGGAGACCAGGCGGGTGTGCTGCTCACTTGGATTTAAGATGCCTAACTGTGGCTAAACAAACTTCTGTATTAACCCCACAGTTAAATGACGAATGGTGAACACAGTCTGAGGAGACGGCTCAGTGGGAAGGAGGACTTGCCACCAGGCCCAATGGCCTGAGTTCTACACCTGGAACCAGCACAGTAGAAGAGGCCCAGCTCTTGCAAGGTGCCCTTGGACTGCCACGGTACAGTGCAGCAAAACCCCTCACAATGCGCAGAATCCATAAAAAATGTATTTTCCACAAGGCCTGTGAGTGGTGGAGTAAGAAGGCGCTAGCATGCCTACCTCTATACACAGTGTGGCTGTGTGAGCACCAAGTCCACAACCCTCATGTCACTTTAAAGCCTTTTCAGCATAAAAAAAAAAAAAAAGTGTATTCAGGCTCAAAAGTTAAAATGCTGCCAGGTGTGGTCACACATGTCTGTAATCCCAGCACTCTGGGAGGCAGAGGCAAGCAGATCTCTGTGAGTTCAAGGCCACTCTGGTCTACAAAGAGAGTCCAGGATACCCAAGGATACACAGAGAAACCCTGTCTCGAAAAACCAAAAAAATAAAAAATTAAAAAAAAAAAAAAAAGTTCTGTGTAGGGGAATTTTAATCTAGCAATGGGGCTGTTCTAATTCTGTCCAAAAGGGGGGGGGGGTCAAAATGCAGGCTAGATCTGCAGCCCCCGCTGGGCGAGGGCACAGAGCACACTAAGCAATGTGGCCAGTTCCCCCCTCTCACACCAGGAGGTTACAGGCAACCTCACACACCAACAAGTCTCCCTGAGCTATGCACTTCTGGCATAGCACGCCAGGGCAATACTTTCACTTCTACGTGAGAAATATCCCCAGTTTCTCAGTGACAACAATAAAGGCCTACGAGAACATTGTTTAACAAGATCTTTTCATTCCTCAAAAGGGCAGAGCAATGAAACACACCCCTCTTCAGAGCAGTGAAAAGCCTGTGAGACCCTCCCAACCTCCTTTTTCAGGGTCAGCCCTGATGCACAATTCAGGTTCACCACTCTGGAAGCACTGTTTTCATCACAATAGCTGTCTAACACAGTAAGTATGTGTTAAGGAGGCACAGTCGATCAAAAGCTCATCTCCAAAACCGTTCCTAAGGGGGCTGGAGAGATGGCTCAGGGGTTCAGGGTGCTGGCTGCTCTTCCAGAGGACCTGAGTTCTGGTCCAGCGCCTACGAAGCAGCTGACAGTAGTCTGTAATTCTAGTTCCGGGGGATCCAATGCCCTCTTCTGGCTTCCCAGGGCACTGCAAATATGGTACACAGAACATGCAGGTAGAACACCCATGCACAGAAAAGAAAAACAAATGGATCAAAAAAAAATTTTTTTTGAAACATGGCAAGGACAGGGAGGAGCAGACACCCAGGAGGTTTCTGAGAAGTCTGCAGAAGCCAGGGCATCAAGTCCCCACCAAGAGATGGAGTAGCCAATTCCTGTGACTGAGTCTCTTTTAGAAAGGGAATGTTTACAGAATGAGAAAGGAAGCAGGGATGAAGACCAGATCCATTAAGATCATATCCAGGGAAGAGAATCTGTGAGAACGTATTTCAAACTGGCCAGACTCAACCAGTAAAAAGTTAGCACAGGGGCTGGAAAGATGGCTCAGAGGTTAAGAGCACTGGCTGCTTTTCCAGAGGTCCTGAGTTCAATTCCCAGCAACCACATGGTGACTCACAACCATCTATAATGAAATCTGATGCCCTCTTCTAGCATGAGGTCTACAGGCAGACAGAACATTGTATACATAATAAATAAATAGATAGATAGATAGATAGATAGATAGATAGATAAATAAATAAATAAATAAATAAATAAGTGTTAGTACAGTAGAAAGAACACGCAGAGTTTCAGGTGCAAATGAGAGCACACACATGAATTATTTCACCAGCAGCGGCCATACCTGGCTGAGTTGTTCCTTTGGGTAGAAAATGACAGATTCCAGAGATGGCCACGCACATTTGAAAGGAGAATTTAGAGGGAAGAAATGTGACCCACCTGGCCTATAGGAGTTCAAGGGTTCAAAACCAAGAGCCTCAAAATACATCTCGGCCACTGCTTCCTGAAAACTGGGGGGGGGGGGGGGGTGTGTGCCTCGGGACCTGTAATCTAGCACTTGAAAGAATGGAGCAGGAGGACTGTGATGAGGTCAATGTAACAAAATGATTTCCAGATGAGCCTGAAGCACGGGTGACAACCTATCTCAAATACTCCCTGCACACCTACTTTCTTCATCTGGGCACGGAGCAAGGTAGGGGATGGTACAGCCGTGTGCACCTACAGTCCCACCTTTGGGAGGCTGAGGCAGGAGGACACCTAGAGCCCCAAAAGTTTGAGAGCAACCGGCAACATGGCAAGACTCTGGATTTTGTTTCTTGGTGGTGGTTGGTAGTGTGTTTTTCTTTAAAATAAAATAAAATAAAATAAATTAAATTAAATTAAATTAAATTAATAAAATAAAATAAAATATAAAAAGGAAGGCCAGGTGTAGTGGTGCACACCATGAATCCTAGCACTCTGGGAGTTGGAGGCCAGCCTGGTCACAAAACTCCCCCACTTCGTCAAAAAAAACAAACAGGGCTTTAGCTTCTCTGGGCAACATACAACGATGGCTGAAGACAAAGGAAGGGCTTAGGTGAGGGTGTGTGACAGCGAACAGGGCAGTGTGGCAGGAAGAGGCAGCAGCCTGATCCAGTCCTGGCTCCCCTGGATTCCTAGGACACTGAGGACCCCCGGCATATTGCCTACAACGTGGACCTAGGGCTGGGGGCCTGCAAGATAACCATTTTTCTGGATACCAGTTTTCACATCAATTCCACAACCACCTTACCGCCCCACCCTATCATGTCCATCATGGCCCTTCTTGCCTACCCTTGGAAGAGGCTTTTAAGAGGAAGATTCTTAGATGTGAATGGACAGGGAAATTACAGAAACATTCCAGCTTTGCAAGCACTGAGGTCAAAAAATGGAGTCCCCATGAAGACTCTGCACCGACTCCGTATTCCAGAGAAAAGGCACAAAGCCCTACTCACTGTTCCTTCATCTCCACGTAGTCTTCCTCATCATGCTTCGCCAGGTCGGTCTCACTGGCATCCTCAGTGTCTGGATGAAATGAGGGAAGAAGTGACTGCTAAGATCAAAATTGGTATCATGACAGAATTGGTATCATGACTGCATAATTAACAGAAAGAACAATAAATTCCTACCCAAAGTGGTTTTATATACATACATGTATATGTAGATATATACACACATGTATGTGTGTGTGTATATATATACATATATATATGTGTGTATATATATATGTATGTGTGTATATATATATATATATACACACACACACACACATATACATACTATGGTTAAAACAAAAAAGAAAAATGTCATTCCAGTTTCGCTTTATGCTGAGAGTTTGCTTTTATACAATGTAAAGTGAGGAAAGAGGGCACACCAGACAGGTAGTCCTGACAGAGGCCACGGAGCAACAGTGAGCACAGGCCAAGGGAGGATCTAAGCCAGCCACAGTGACACTCGGGAGGCAGCGGCAGGAAGATCAATATGAGTTCGAGGCCAGCCTGGTCTACAAAGTAAGGCCAGGACTGTCAAGGCTACACAGAGAAACCCTGTCTAGAAAAACAAAAAACAAAAAACAAAAAAAAAAAAGCAACAAAAACCCCTCAGTAAATGGTGGATTGGGGCCCACACACATCACATAAACACAGACAATAAAAAAGTAAAAAACAGAGAGAGTGAGAGAGGATCTGAGCGTACACATACCCACACCACATGCCAGAGACATACAGTAAAGAGACTGTCCTCACAACAAAGTCAGTCGTAATAACTGACACGCTGTCCAAGGTAACAAATAAAAAAAAAAAAAGACAAAGCCGGTCCTGGTGGCACACGCCTGTTATCCAGCACTCAGGAGGCTAAGGCAGGTGTAGAGTTTGAGGCCAGGACAGCCAAGGCTACACAGAGAAACCCTGTTTCAAAAAACAACAAAACAAAAAATACAGAAAACAGGGCATTTTCTTTTAATGTTTCAAAACTTTGTATTTAAATAAAATTTAAAAAGTGTGCTGGACGCATGGCTCAGCAGTCGAGAGAGCTCATTAACCTTTGCAGAGGATATGGGATTGGTTCTCCAACACCCATATCACATGGTTTATCATGTCCTCTAACTGCAGTTCCAAGGGGATCTGGCACCTTTTCTGATTTCAAAGGGCACCTGTACACACGAGGTGCACATAAACTCATACACAGACATCAGTACACATAAACAAAAATTAGTTAATTTAAAAACACCTTCAATTATATTTACTTTGTTTTATGTGTATGTTTTGTCTGTATGTAGGTGCAGCACCTGCATGACGGGTGCCCAGAGGTCAAAGGTCACAAGGCACTGGATCCCCTGGAGCTGGAGTTACAGACAGTTGTGATCCATACAAACCTGGATCCTTTGAAAAGTCAGTAAGTGCTCTAAAGTCTGAGCCATCTCTCTAGGCCCTCATATATGCATTTTATCATGTATTTAAACTGGTCTTAAGCAAATAACTGAATTCAATGGCCCCTAGCTAAAAGGGAAGGAGATCAAGTTTGTCTTCAGTGCACCCCCTCGTGGTTACTAGAAGCAATGCAGCGTTTCACACTGAAAAATTCCTGGGGAAGCCTTGACTTTTACCGTAATTAAACTAAACGCAATCAGTCCTTCAAACCTTCTGCTCTGCATACGCTGCTGCGTTTTGAAAGACTGTTGCAGACCCACGTCTCCACAAAGCTACATCCCTTCCTTCAGTGGAAGGCGCTTTCACAGAGGTCCTGTCAGGGGCCAGCCAGCTATGTCCGGAGGCTCTTGAGAGATTAAGGTGAGTGACACGAACCTCCTTGCAGTCGAGGTAGCTTTTGCTTTTTACAGCCCACCTTGGTGCCAGAAAACTCTACTCCAACCTCACAAAGGCCTCCCCTTCCCCTTTCCGCATCTACCTAGCTTCTCCTCCACCCAGCTAGTTCCTTCCTCAATCCTTCTGGGTGTCTCTCACACCCGCCAAAGGGAAACAAGGTCCAGATTGAGAAGTGAGGTTCCAAGGAGCAATTAACGCAAACGCAAAATACTCGGGACTGAAAACAAACCCCACCTCCCCGTGCGTCTAGTTCTCAGTGGCAGAGCGGATTTCATTTACCCCAAACACCTACCCAAGAAGTGGGGACTCCTTGCTACTCCGCAGCAGGTGGGTAAACAAGGGTCTGAGGAGCTTAAGGCGGAATGCTGGGGCAGATACTAGCCAAATGAATACTGACACCTGGCTGATTCCGGGACCTCCGGGTGGAGCCAGGGGGACTAAGCATTTTGAGGAGAGAAGCGGGGAGCGAGGAAGCCGAGGTGGGCACCACTCGTACCTAAGCGCACTTCCAAGGGATGCCTTTCTCCCCTGCCATCCAGAAAGGAGCTGAGCCACTGGGCCGGGGACAGTCTTAAATGGACCCCTGGCTGTGAAGCGCTCTGGCGACCTCTGACCCCTGCCCCATAGCCTCCGGTCCCGACCCCAGCCCCGGAGGCACCTTCGTCGGACTCTCGGCCCCGGCAGCTGCGCTCGTCGTCCTCGGCGCTCTCCAGCTCCTCGTCGTCCTCGGGGTAGTACTCCGGGGCGGGCGGCGCTGCAGCTGGGGCGGGCGCCGGGGCCAGCAGCCCCGCGGCGCTCATGTCGCCGCCTCGGGCCGCGGCGGAGGGTGTCCCGGGGAGATCGCGGCCGCCTGGCTGAGCCCGGGACGGCCCCCACCTCGCGGAGCCAGAGCCACAGCCACCGGGTCTCCCTCGGCGCCGAACTCCGCCCCCCGGCGCCCGCGCTGGGCAACGGGGGCCTCGCGCAGCCTGCCACTTCCGGGTCGTGGGCTGCCCGGCGACGGCCTGATCCAGCCATCCTCGAGGCAATGGGCGAAACGCCGGACTCCACGTTCTCTCATAGCACACTGTCTTCATCACTGTCCTGAGAATCTTCGATAGGCCACGGGGGAGGGGCGGAGGCGGTGTCTCTGGAGCCAGGCATATCCGTTGGGCAGCCCTGCTCTCAGTCAGGACCCCGAAGTTGGGAGGACACTTCCGGAAACGGCCGCCAGGCGGCGCCCGGAGTCAAAACTAAAGTGTGAATGGACGCGGCCTGATGGGCGGAGGCTTTACAAAGCCCTGGATAGGTGGGGTGTTCTCTGACTGAAGCGAGTGAAAAATGAACCGTTCCCTTGGTGGGTTTGGAAGCCTGCACAGCCAGAGAGTGTGTGATACAGAAAATGGGGAGTGTGGTTCCGCCTCTGCCTTAGTGGGGGCTTTATTAAGAATTAAAATACAGGCAAGTTGCTGCCATTCCATCCGCGGGTCAGGTGAATGCATGTAACCAGGCCTTGCCAGTGCTTTTTTTTTTTTTTTTTTAATAGATTTACTGGGTAAGCTGTTTTCCCGATTTTACAAATGATCAGAAGAACCATCATTCTCCTTAAAAAAAAAGAAAGAAAGAAAGAAAGAAAGAAAGAAAGAAAGAAAGAAAGAAAGAAAGAAAGAAAATGAAATGAAAATGGTGGCAGAAAATGGTGGCATCAGTTTGGAATCCTAAATCCAGGCTGTCGGCGGGATAGCTGCCTTATGTTTCCTGAAATGTAATTTTTAAGGTATTTTTGCCTCATCCAGTAACTTGTTAACCTGCTAATTTTCAGGTGAGCAAATAAAGCACTTCCCTACAGAAACTACTTTGGCTAAAATTCAAAAGCCAACGCTGGGCAGAGTGGCACACGCCTTTAGTCCCAGCACTCGGGAGGCAGAGGCAGAAGGTCTCTTGAGTTTGAGGCCAGCCTGGTCCACAGAGCAAGTTCCCAGATAGCCAGGGATACACAGAGAAACCCTTTCTGGAAAGCAAACAAACAAAGCCAAGAAACTGAGTTTCTCCATGTGTTCATTTGCATGGCCCTGTGCTTACCACCACCACTGCCTGCCCTCGGGACACAGCATTACAGTTTTGCTAAAAAAAAAAAAAAAAGTTACTCAGGAAGGTAAAAGTAGGAGGACAGCAAGAGCGAGGCTTACCTGGATTTCAGAGTGAGTTCAAGGCCAGCCAGCTTAGTGAGACCCTGTCTGAAAACAAAAATAAAAAAGAGGCCTGTGGGTGCAAGTGGGTAGGACACTTGCCTGGCATGCTAAAGACACCTAGCTTTAATCCCTAACTCGAGAGCCTGGGAAGATCTGTCCGCAGTAACCCCCATTCAGTTAATTCAAATCTGCACAGAGAAAGGAACAAGCAAGAAGACTGGGCAGATGTGACAGCAGTGGAAGGCAGGGCCAAACCCGATACAGTGTTCTGATTCTCACATCCTTTGTATCAAATGTATTTCCAAATTGTCCCCCAGAGATACTTCTAAAAATGAGAACATTCGTTCTCGGTCCCATTTATTTTGACATTTCCTATTTACTACCTTGTTTTAATTAAATCTTGGCTCTCTTTGTAAGGGATGTTTCCTCTGCATAAAATGCAAGAATTTCCAGAATGCAATGCTGGGATGACCTTCCCAGAAGTTCAGATCTTCTTAACAAGCGTTCTTTTTCAAGCTCTGCCTCAACAGAGCGTCTCTCCTCCTAAGGATGAGGTCTGCTTCCTTTGTCTCCCTCTCTCTCTGTCTCTCTCCTGCGATTTTGAGAGGGGGGGGGGTAATTCAATCACTTGTAAACTATTTGTAATCCACATTACCGGGCTGATGCTCCCATCAGTAATACTATTCACAAAGCAGAAAAATAAAGAGCAACATTCTTGAACGCAGAATCCATTGATACAATGAATCAAAAGGTAGTTGGTTTTGTTACTAAAGAGTTACAAGAAGCTGGGCCCCTTGTTTGTAATCTTGCTCACGTTTGACTTCTATTTCTGTCTCTCTGATTGCAGAGAACCTGTGTTAATAGTCATGAGCTTCTGTTTTATATGTATCACAGAGACAAAAACAGCAGGCTGATGGCAGTGTGGCCCTTACCTGCCATGGAGGCTGCAGTGCTGGCCCCATGTGTGGTTTTCTAAGTGCTCTTTAGTGCAGAGGGAATCTACTTAAGAAAAAATCCCTCATGACTTTAGGCTTGGCCAGCTCTCGTCATTGCCTAGAAAACCTAGGTTTCCTTCAGAATCAAGTTTCACCTGTTAAAAGTCCTTCACTGCTTCTCCCATATATGGTATTCAGTCAGAAACACCAGCCTCAGAACAAGACCTAGAACCCAAAGCCTGCAGCCCTGGGTTCTCATACTCAGGCCCTCCCTGGCAGCTTCTGGGCTCCCAGCATCCAGATTTCAAGGGTACCCATTAATTGGGATGAAGTTTGATTTGGAAACATACAAGGTTGAAGATGCAAATTCTGCTGGGGGATATTGCCCAGTGGTTTGGTTTGGTTTGGTTTTTTTAAATAATTTTCTGACATGTTTGAATCTCTAGATTCAATCTCCAGTACTTAAAAAAATAAAAATAAAATAAAAAGGCCAGGGTGGTGACATGTGACTTTAATGCAGCCAGTGGCAGCGGCAGGCTATGAGCCCAAGGCCAACTTGTCCATAGAGTTCTAGGCCAGCCTGGGCTACATAGTGATACCAAGTCTCAGACAGATACATACATACATACATACACACATACATACATGCATACATTCTTTTGTGGTAGAGCGTTTACTAGGAACTAAAGCGAGTGTCTACATCTGACAAGGCTGAGGGTGAGATGGTGTCCCAGCAGAAGGCTTTTTAGAGCTTCTACAGTCAACTCAAACAACACAGCCATTTTTCCCCCAAAAAATGAGACCGGGCCCGGTGCACTTTACTCCTTGGCAAACACTATGTTTCAGCGTGGCTCAGGATAGATCCGGGTTATTACAGGTTGCACTTGGGGTCAAAGCTCAATGGCCTTCTGCCTTTGGTTCGCGAAAGTCTGTGGCCTTGAAAGAGATTAGTTGGATATACTTCCTGGAACCTTGCCAAAGCCATGGGGTCACCCCACCCCAAATTCTTGTCTAACCGTGGTAATCAAAATTCACAAAATGAGTATTCCTCTTTTCACTCTTTTTTTTTTTTTTTTTTTTTTTTTGAGGTTTTTGAGGCTGTGTCCAGCTATCTAGCTCAGGCTGGGCTCAAACTAGAGGAGGCCATCTTCCTGCCTCTGCCGACTAAATGCGCACATCACAGGCAGCCACAGTGAGTGCAAAGGCTTGACGTTTTAAAATGAGCCCAAACCAGGTTAAGCACTTATCTGAGTCTTCCTCCAGCCCACAGATTTTATTGTTCCCCCTCCAGCAGTACACTGAGAGCTAGGAAAGATTTACAAGCCCCGGGTGAAAAGCTTCCCTTAAGGGTTTCTAGGAGTTGTAAAAAGGTCCAGCGAGAGACGGGGTCGATCCCACAAGTTCTCCCACTGTGACGTCCCAAGAAAAGCCAAGGCGTGGAGAAGAGACCCACGAACTTTGACCCCTGCACAGCACAAATAAGGCTGACCGCGCCCGAGGAGGGCCCAGGGCAACCCGAATTGAGAGAGCTTCCGCGTTTGGGAGAGCCCCGCCCACAGGACCCGCCCACCGCCAGCTCCGCCAATCCTCTGGATCCATCGACCGCTCTGGTTTTCCAGGGAAAGACAATCAAACGCCTATATGCAGCCTGGGCCCTGAGGCCGGCGATCAGGGAAGGTCAGTAGAGAGCCTATCAGAGCACGGCTGTGGGTGGAGTCAGGGGCGGGGTCGGGTGGGGGCGGGGCGCGCTCCGCGCAGTCGGGTGCGATTGGCCACCCCTGGCGGAGCCGCACCTCGGACAGCAGCAGCGGCGGCTGAGAGGGTCCTGCGTGGAGAGTGGGGCGCGACGCGGACTCGCGGGCGGGGGCTGCGCGTGGGGACCCAGAACGCGAAGACTCTGCACGAGAGCGACTCGGGGCACGAGTGGGAGGAGGCGGCGGCGCCGGGGCCGCGAGTGACAGCGCTGAGGTGAGAGCGCGGGCGCCAGAGTGACAGCCGGAGTCCCGGCGCGGGGACCCGGCGCAGCGGCCGCGAGCATCCCGGGAGCGGAGTTGCTAGCAGTTGTGCCAGTGCACCGGGGGACCGGGAGGGAGCGGGACAGGGAGTGGGGAGGGGTGCCCGAGAGTGACCGTAGGGGAGAGGTCCAGGATGGGGACAGGGACAGCGGGGTGAGGAGGAGCGGACGCAGAGAGGGAACACGAGTGAGCGAGGGGACCCCGAGAGGGGTGGAGAAAGGATGAGAAGGGGACAGAGAAATACGGGTGAGCAAGGGGACCTCAAGACAAAACGAGTCAGCGGGATTAACGAAGCGACTTGAAGAGGGACTCCGGGCTGTAGGGTGAGCGAGAGGACCCCAGAGTTCCTGCGACGGTGGGATGAACGAGATCTGCCCGAGGTGGGCTAGTAGGAAGAGCGGGTGGGACCCAGAGAGGGACCGAACAGTGGAGTGAGTGAGGAGACAGCGGACTGTAGACTGAGCAAGTTGACTTGAGAGAATCTAGGCAGCAGAATGAAAGAAGGAGACCCAGGAGGGACCGAGACAGGGAATAAGCAAAGACCTCAAGGGAGGCCAGGGCAGAGTGCCGTGCCCTCGCAATGGATGTAAAGTGGACTTCAAGAAGGCTTAGAACAGCTGGGTGACAGGAGGGGTCCCTAAAAGGGGCCAAGACAGACGGGTGTGAGCTGAGGGACCCAGAGCAGAGCCAGCACCGATAATCCAAAAGGAGTTGGTGAGTGAGGTACCAGAGAAGAGCTTGCCGAGTGTGAGTGTGGGCTTCTGACTTAGCAGCCAGGCACGTGGGGAAGAGCACAGGCAGCTTGAGTCCCGGTGGCATTGAGTGGGGACA